ATGCTATGTAGCTGCACGACTCAGTCGTCGCTTCAGTCGAAGTAACCTGAGAATCCTGTGGCGAATGCCCGCTTATATAGCCAGATGACTCCACCCATTCTGGCGGGCTCTGGCGGGCTTTGTCGCCATAGGCTTTAAGCGCCGAATGGCGGCAGGGGAACAGGACCGGGGCTGCTGTGATGCTGAAGCGAAGAAGCAGGTCAGCCGAGCAGAGAGGTCTCAGTCCAGCTGCGAGGCGTGTCAACGGCAAGAAGGCTTTCGGGATTAGCGTTGAGAGTAGAGTCGTTGCTGAAGGAGAAGAAATCTGAGAATCCTGTGGCGAACACCCGCTTTTATAGCCAGATGGCTCCGCCCATTCTGGCGGGTTTTGTCGCAATTGGTTCGTTTTTTAATGCACTGCACGAACCAATGGCCATGCAGTTTCACTGCGTGACTGAAAAAGGCTTCAGTTCTGGAGAAAAAAAGACTTTTTCCCGTAACGTCTTTAGCAAGACACAGTACTCATTCCTGAACTCTATATATTTCTTGTATTAGGCCTTGTCACATGACAACAAAATGCATATTTATTTTGCTGACAAAGTTTTGCAAATATTTATGGCAGCTTGTTTCTGCCACAGAATAAAAAATAAAAAAAGGTAATTATGACTTTTTCTTTCACAATTCTGACATTTTCCTCACAAGAATTTACATCTCACAATTCTGACTGTCAGATTTGTGAGCTTTAAAGTCAGAATCTCACAATTCTGACTATTTTTTTCTCAGAATTTTAAGAAACAAATTCTTAATTGTGCAATGAAAAGTTGTAATTACCTTATTTTTTTATTCTGTGGTAGAAAAGGGCTTCCATCAATATTAATATATTAAACCTCTCTGCGGCCAGACATCATCCTGTAGTCCATCTCTGCCAAGACAGTAATCATGGCAGAGCTCACAGTACTGTGGGAAGAGATGATGGATTCAGCATTTAAGAGGAGAAAGGAGAAATATAGTGAACTAGTGGCAGCATGTACCGAAACAGGGTGGAAATCATGCATCTTCCCTGTTGAAGTGGGATGCAGAGGCTTCGTTGGTAAATCCATCCAAAAGCTGTTGAAGAGGTTTGGAATTACTGGATCGAAGCAAAAGGCGGCACTCAGGGAACTGGCTGAGGAGGCAGAGAAAGGGAGCTTCTGGTTGTGGTTCAGAAGGAATGACCCCAGGGGGGGAAACTAAAGGTCATAGGGCCAGCCACAGGGAGCGGTAGGTGGGTGGCTCCCAGCTGATGACGTTGTGGCTGGCCCATTGGGGTGCGACAGGCAGAAATGCCTTGCAGTTCTCAAGGACCTGTGCTTCTATTTATTTGTATCATTATCTTTAAACGCTACATTTTTTAATACTGTTTAAAAACAGAAAAAGAGTATTACATCACCAACTGTACATACTACTGTGGTATTTTGCAGAAACTGTGGTTATACATTTCTGTAATGGAAAGCATGAAAAAGCAATTCTGCAAAGACAAGCAAGACTGGTGCAGCTGTATGCACTGATTGTTAATTTGCTTTGTTAGTTTGTTTGCAGCTGAATCAAAGTTTCATTTTTTTTTTATGGCTTTCGATTAAAGTTTATTTGAAGCTCCAGGGTGGGCTGTTAAGTATGCATGTAATGTATAGTACATCACATGCAAGTACAATCAGAGCGCATTGTTAGCACACATATTCAACGCGGCTTACATGAGTCATATGTTATCTCCCCAGAACAAAAACTCCATTAAGAAGCTCTGAATCCATTGAGAAGTGTCAGAGCGATGGCGTGAGTCATTAGAGTCACAGGCACTAATTCAGAGTGTCACGGATGCAGTCAGGTGCCAAAGCCTTTCATTTCCTGCCTCGGTACCATCGGATATGAAACTCATTCAGGTCGCCATGGACCACTGGTTATTTACACTGACCGCTTGCCCAAACGTATCCAAACAGAGCTCGCTGCTTGATATGTGTGGACATTAATACATTAGCAGTGGCGCTTTTCAAAAAATGACACCTGTACAAGATGGCAGCCCTCTGTAGCCAGCAGTTAGATAAAAGACTGAACAGCTGTTGTGTTATTCACATTTACAACTATGCATTTGCCAGATGCTTTCGTGCAAAGCGACTTACATTGCACTCAAGGCGTATTCCCTGGAGACCCATGACCTGGCCATTATCTAATGTTTGAGCTGCGTTACGAGCCATCACTAGACATAAAGTAGTCTAAGACTCAGACGTCACATCTATGGACTGTCTGATGCTCAGTGCATACAAAAATATATCCAATCTCAATGGATGGTGTCTATTATTATTATTATTATTATTATTATTATTAAATAGAGTGAGTAAACGCTGTAATTGCACATTGATGCTGTCTAGAAAATGATTTTCCTACCTAGCAGAGCTAGTTTAAAAAAAAACATTTACAGTTGTCTGGATTGAAATTCAGACCACGAAGTTTACACATATTTTATTGTTTAATTTTGCGCTAAACATTTGCACAGATGATTGAGGTACATTACTGTTTAAAAGGAATGAATACTTTTATTCAGTAAGGAAACATTAAATTGATCAAAAGTGACAGTAGACATTTATGTTTCAAAGCCTTTTTATTTCAAATAAAAAAATAAAATAATTTTTTAACCTTCTATTAACTATTCATCAAACAATCCCAAAAGAGGTATCATTATTTCCACAAAAATATTAAGTAGCACAACTGTTTTCAATATTGATAATAACAAGAAATAAGCACGAATAAATTAAATTTTATTAAATTTAAATAGAAATGAAATTACAATTGTAATTTAATTGTAAATAATATTGTAAAGTATAATCATATTTTGTAATATATTTAACAATATTACTGTTTTCACTGTATTTTTATTGATCAAATAAAAGCAGCGCTGGTGAGCATAATTGACTTTGTTCAAAACATTAAAAATATCTTTCTAACCAAACTTGTGAATGGTACTATATGTATCAGTGTTATTTTAGAATAATTTACATTATTTTTTAAAAATAATTTAGATTGTGTTTCCTTCTAGAGCATCAGTGACCATTTGAACCTTTTGTAATAGTTGTGTATGAACTCAGTGTGGAAAGATGGATCTCAAAATCATACAGTCATTGTTGGAAAGGGTTCAAATTCACAAAGGATGCTGGAAAACCAAATAATCTGTGGGACCTGAAGGATTTTTCTGAAGAACAGCAGGCAGTTTAACTGTTCAGCACAAACAAGGGACTCATGAACAACAAAACCAAACCAGCTGTGGATCATGCAGATTACAACACAGTATTAAGTATCAAGTGTAAACTTTTGAACAGGGTAATTTTTATAAATTCAACTATTATTTTCTCTTGTGAACTACATGTAAACGTCTTTTATGTGAAATATCTTATTCAGGTGAGTACTAAATAAAAAACAACATGCATTTTGTATGATCCCTGTTCTTTTGGAAAAATAATTAACATTTTGCAGCCCGTCTACAGGTAAACAATCTGTGGTTGGCCAGACGGTCTGTTCTTGTCTAGGTAGGTGGTTCTTGGCTCAAAAAATCTGTGATGTGCTGGTCCATGACGCTGATAGTGATGGCAAAGAGATGCTATCTGTCCGCCAGTGACAAATAAATGCACAATAAAGAATTCCACTCACCATGTCTGTGTCTGAAACAGGGCCAAAACTGGTGACGTAAATGTCGGTCTTCACTGTGGTAACTCGATCTGGGAAAACAAAAAGAAAAGACATCAAAATGACCAGTGTTATTTTCCCAGAGTGCAATGGCGACAGCCTTGTCTCATCTATCTTGAAAGGGGCATCTTTGTAAAACTGCATTTTCTGAGAGAAGAGTATATTCAATATATTAAATTTTTTTCCTCCTTTCTCCGAGCTTTCTTTCTTTCTGGCATTCAAAAGAGCTTCTGATATTTCCTCTGCTTGCTGCACTAAACAACACAGGCCCACAGTAAGTGCCTTCAGTCAGACAGTGAAATATAAATACAGAACTACTACACAGACTATTCAGAACAAAACACAGTCTGAGAAATGCACACATTCACAAAAACTACTGCATTTTCATTGACACTTAAAAACAGAACCAAATAACTGTAAAACATGACTCAAATAAAAATACAGCATAATTTCAAAATACATTTTTTGGACTCTTCTTACAAATTTCGCTGAATAAAACTACCAGTTTTCTGCAAAACTGCACCTGTACATACATTTCACTGCAGTTTCCCGGTGAAGTAACCACTAAAGACAATAAAACACCAACATTTTTTTTTTTTTGCTCTTCATAGAAATTATGATTACAGGGGCAGATTTTACCCTAAACAAATTGCTCTGTACAGTATCCTGTGTTCTCTGCACACTTACAGTGTTTCTTATTATGCCTCCTGATATTTTGCACATTCCTTTGCACATTTCTACTTCCTAATGCCATTTGCACTGCTATGGTCACTGGCCATACAGAAAAATACACTATTGATATACCTCACTCTGTATAATGCACCTTCTGTGTTATACTTGTTCACTTGCAATTTATGTTATATTTACAGTTATTTGTATTGAGCTGGTCTCTGTTTCTCTACCTAATTACTTGCACTCTGTACAATAATGTATATATACATACATATATATATATATATATACACATTGCTATTTGCACTGGTTAGATGCTAACTGCATTTCATTGGCTCTGTACTTGTACTCTGCACAATGACAATAAAGTTGAATCTAATCTAATCTAATCTAATCTAATCTAATCTAATCTAATCTAATCTAATCTAATCTAATCTAATCTAATCTAATCTAATCTAATCTAATCTAATCTAATCTAATCTAATCTAATCTAATCTAATCTAATCTAATCTAATCTAATCTAATCTAATCTAATCTAATCTAATCTAATCTAATCTAATCTACTGATGAATAAAGGCGTATTTTCTAGCAGTTCCTTGCACAATACAATGTTTGATGTTTGCATCACTTAATCCATTTCATATGGTGTACGAATCCTGTGAAGTCATGCTAAAAAAGCTCAAATACTTGTAGATGGAAAAGCAAAAATGGCATGACTGCTTTAGCAAATGCATTTTATCTCACATTTACTTATAGGTAACACTCTTGGTTCAGGGTATTTTAAAGTGCAATATAGCATTAACCTTTTAGCTCCACTCACTGGACATTTCATTTCTGAAGTGGCGTGATACATACCACAAATGGTGTAATGAAACTTTGCCACTACAGGTTGACCGATTGATCGATTTTGTCATTTAATTGGCACTGATAACAAATTGCTGAAACAATCGGTTATCTGCAAAAATGCATACCGATAGCTTTTCTGGGTTGCGTCCATTGCTGGAGCAGATGAGAAGGGTCTGATGTCATTATACAGTACGAGAGCAGCCTAACATTAGTAGTACCTCAAGTGGTTAAAAGTCAGATCCAAACATTCAACATATATATATATATATATATACACATTGCTAGTTGCACTGGTTAGATGCTAACTGCATTTCATTGGCTCTGTACTTGTACTCTGCACAATGACAATAAAGTTGAATCTAATCTAATCTAATCTAATCTAATCTAATCTACTGATGAATAAAGGCGTATTTTCTAGCAGTTCCTTGCACAATACAATGTTTGATGTTTGCATCACTTAATCCATGTCATATGGTGTACGAATCCTGTGAAGTCATGCTAAAAAAGCTCAAATACTTGTAGACGGAAAAGCAAAAATGGCATGACTGCTTTAGCAAATGCATTTTATCTCACATTTACTTATAGGTAACACTCTTGGTTCAGGGTATTTTAAAGTGCAATATAGCATTAACCTTTTAGCTCCACTCACTGGACATTTCATTTCTGAAGTGGCGTGATACATACCACAAATGGTGTAATGAAACTTTGCCACTACAGGTTGACCGATTGATCGATTTTGTCATTTAATTGGCACTGATAACAAATTGCTGAAACAATCGGTTATCTGCAAAAATGCATACCGATAGCTTTTCTGGGTTGCGTCCATTGCTGGAGCAGATGAGAAGGGTCTGATGTCATTATACAGTACGAGAGCAGCCTAACATTAGTAGTACCTCAAGTGGTTAAAAGTCAGATCCAAACATTCAATGTCACGAGTGTTACAATCTGTTGCAGTCAACAGAAACCAGAAACACCAAACAAATCTGAAACGCATTTCAGTTCTTTTTCTTATCAGTATTATATTTTGTTATTTTGATTACATAATCATCAAGAGTTCTAAAATAGAAGCAAATAAAGTGTGAGAGTATACATACAGCATAAATATGTTTCTAATTTCATTGCTATGGTTAATAAATGCTAGAGAAGAATTGTTCATTGTTAGATTGTTAATTTCAACATTTATAAATACATTTTTAAATTACAAAGTTGTATTTGTTAGCATTAGTTAATGCATTATGAACTAACATGAATGATCAAACTAAAATATAATACTTTAATATTTAATGTTAATATTTATATATTTATTTCATTCAAAAAGTGCAGTACATTTTCATGGGTCAGCACATTTTTTCCCCCTTTATTTGTAAAAGTTTAGCTATTTTACTTGGAGTGTTGTTTGTTGTCATTCAGTATCCATTTTAAAAACTATCGGTTGATTAATCGGTTATCGGCCAGCTAGTTATTGTTATCGGTAAAATCCTCTATTGTTCAACCTCTAGTTGCCACAGTCGCGTTGCACAGTGCACTATTTAGCATCAGACACTGGATATTTTGTTTAGAAAGTGACATGAAATGTGCTACAAGCAATACAATATAATGTTGCAACCATTTTGAATCCACAGGAATGTTTGTTTTTCATGAAACTGGGTTGTTAAATAAACACGCATCTGCAATGGGGAAACATGATATAGCTTATAGCACCTCTTGCGGACATATCATTGAAAAAACACACACACACACACACACACACACACACACGTTTACTTAGCTATCTAAATGGGGACATTCCATAGGCGTAATGGTTTTAATACTGTACAAACTGTATTTTCTATCACCTTGCACCAACCCTACACCTAAACCTACCCCTTACAGGAAACTTTCTGCATTTTTACTATTTAAAAAAAACTTTGTTTACTTTACTTTTATACCAGTTTTACAAATGAGGACGTCCCCAAAGGGAGGTTTTTGGAGATTTTGTCAGGTTTAGCTCACTTTTGGGTACAATTTTCCCCAAAAAATATGGTTAAGTAGGCACACACACACACACACACACACAAAAAGGAGTTTCAATGCAAACAAATGCAGAGCAGCACTTTGTCCCATATGCAGATAAATATCAGAATGAATGATAGATTCTCATAAATGAGCTCATAAGTTCAAAGCAAGAGCCCGGGAGTCTTCAGTGGTTCTTTAGTGCTTAAAGTGGCGAGTGTATTCTGAGCTCAGAGAGGCTGGTGTGTTGTATTAATAGCTGTCTAATGTAGGGGTGGTTTATTCAGCGCTGAGCAGGAGGAGAAATGCTCGGAGACACCAGGATGCTTTGATGTCTTTTCTGTGGGTTTTTGTTCACTTATTCTCCTGTTTCACAAATGCCAAGCTGATAAAAATACTGAGTAATCAACCGACAACAACAGCAATCAAACAAACAAGAAGAAATTAAGACTGCTCATCTTAAAAACAATGTCACTCTCTCTTTCTGTCTGTCTCTGTCATGTCTCAAAAATTGCCTTAATTATACAATGTCACACGCATAGAAAAGGGGGAAAAAAATCCATTGATATTCATCTCTGGCTAGATTTTGCATGCCGTTTCTGCACAAAATCAATGGACTGCTGGGAAAGTATAAAAATACATAGAAAAACATTGAAGTTTTATTCAAACTAGATGTTTTCGTCTAGTTGCAGTGGTTGCTAAAGTGTTGAGAGTGGTTTCTAGTCCATTGCTATGCGATTTTTAGATGGTTGCTATAGGGCTGAACAATTAATTAAAGTAAAATCGAAATTCATTATGGCTTATCCGCATATCAAATCAGAAAGACTGCGTTTTTATGTTCTTTTACACACAAGTAGCTCATTATCTGATGCTTTCAGTGTCTCAACATATCACTTTTTAATCAGATTTGAAATGAAAACATTTTAAACCTGTTGCCAACAAATGAGAAGCTTTAAAGGGCTCCTTGCACTTTTTTCCCACCAAAACAAAAGTTCAATGGTTTGAAACTGAAATTAAGAAGACACGTAAAATAAAATGATTATTACTATTATTTTATACTTATAGTTAATAATATTAATAAATATTAATATTTATACATAAAATAAATGTTAATTTTGCAGTAAAATGGTATTACAATAGTATTGTCACGGTCTGCCTACTGTGCAGGAAAGAGGAGCGCGGAGATGATGGGGAATAACACAATGAACAATCTTTATTAATCCAAAATAAACTCCTTCTCTGGTTTGGGGTTAAGGAGCGGGCTGCTGTCAGCTGAGGGCTTGGGAGGGAATTGGCCGGCGGGCTTGAGAGTACAGCGGTCGGGCTTGACAGCTGAGTGGACGACGAGCTTGACGCCAAGCTGGTTCTGAATCGGTACCTTCCCTCCAGCTCAGTCCAGGGGGCGATGGTAACTGGCCCTGATCCAGAACAACGAATTAAGGGTGGCGTTATCCAACGCCGTCATCATGGCGAGCCCGCAGAATTCCCGGGCGAAGTCTATAAAAGGAAGATCTCTGTGAAT